AATTAGATAATAAACACCATTCATCTAATGAAAAAATAAATTGCATATTCTATTAAATACTGAATTGTTTGGTTTTTAAATTTGAGAATATCACAAAAGTGATCAGAACTGTAATTTAAGATTGGTCTATATTTAGTAACTAAAGAGAATTTGATAACTAAATTAATATGGTTGCTAGATACAAATTTGAGAAACTAGTCGATTCAAGTCAAATTTATCATTATGAAGTAGTTCATTTACTTGTGACTAAATACAGTCTTAAAAAACATATAATTATTCATAGATATATCTCATTGTAAATTATCTCGGTTCGTATAAACACAACTAAAAGAAATCAGTAGTTTTAATAACTGAAAAAACTAATAGAAAAAGACAATATTGACATTTATTACATTTGTTCTTTTTTCATGAGAACATTTTGATTTGTTTGAATTCGCCTGCATAACATTTGCCCGATACTTATCGTTTTTATTACACTTCTACATAATGTACTTTACATGATTTTTTAAGTTGTTTGTTATTAAGGTTATATTTTTATGTTTTTGATATCTCTCAGATTCCTTATTTTCAGTTAGATTCATCAATGAATGTATGTTAGTCAAAGTTGCCATACCATGTTAGCACGATCAAATGAATGTAACACTGTGAATAGATAAGGGATTGAAATACTGTGGTTTAATCATAATTATTAGGTTCTGGGAACATAGTTTAAGAAATGAGAGCTATGATTGTGTTAGTTTAGTCATAGTTTCCAACTTTCTATAAGAAATTGTCAACAATACTATGAACCACTTTAAATGAAATAGTTTTTCTTAAAAAATGTCTAATACCGGTGAACATTTTAAAATACAGTTAGAATTATCCTTCCAGCAATATTCATTTCTGTTAAATATTCAATTTCTGTAATTTACGCAAACATTTTGACTGGTTCACGGTAAAATAATGCCGTGAGCATGAAAAATTGGTAAATATTGTTAGTCAAATTACAAATTATTTAGTTATGAAGTCAAGATTAGTCATTGCTAGATTTTTATCAATCTAGTCATAGAAAAAAATTTCGGTCAGAGTTACTTTCACCATAAAGTAATGAAAGTGGATTCATGTTTTAAAAAAAAGGTATTCCATTATTTGAGTACGTCTTTTAGTAGGTCAATTTTTGGGTTTGTGTTATGCATTTCTGGGTCAATTTATGCAAATATTGAATTCCTCTCCAAAGAAGTCATTTTCTTAAAAAGGAAGAAGAATTGTCACAATGACAAACTGCGTACAATGTCGAACACATTTACACTTCACCGTGTTTTTAATTAAAGATCATTAATTTTGACAGGCCTGGGTAATCAAAAAAGTAATAATTTTAAGGTCAAGTTTAGCATAGTTCAATGTTTGTGGCAATTAATTTTCACCAAGATTTCTCATTCGTTTCATTATAAGTTATATTCATAAAAATCAATAAATGTTACTGGGATGTTGTCAAATGAGCTAACGATTGAAAAAATTATTTTACACCTATTATCTGCACATTAATTACGCACAATCACAATTTACATGCTCCCTTTTCGAAAATCGATTGAAACGAGCTTGTTCTTGCGATCAGTGATTCTTCTTTTCACTTAGTTGTTTACTGTGTTGATATTTCAAGCAATAAATCTTTTGCAATCGAAATTATTTTCATTTTGAATGATATAAACAAAATCTAACGGAAAATTAAGTTTAACTCTATAAAAATTTATGCATTGATTATTTTGGATGGTGAGAAAATTTTCTGTTGCTTTCGGCAAGAATATCTAAACAAATGAAGGTCATTAATTTAGAGTCGAATGTTTTCAGCATATGTTTGTATTCAAATGAAGTTATTTTGGAAGGGAAGAGAATATTATATATATATCAAAACCCATCTGTGACATTGCTAATTATAGAATCAAAACTCCCACCGTCATTTGACCTGTTTTGATAGAAAAACAGATGCCGAAAATAACAACTTATTATGCTTAAATTTTGTGTTTTACACTTATTTTGATCTCAATGTTTATTATTGAAAAAAATTTCAATTCTGCAAGAAAATGAATTTATTAAGTGTTTCGAGAAATTTTAAATCACTTAAAGCACATTCATCATTAATTGTTCGAACGAGAACATATTTATCCCTGAGCATAATGGGTCTGACCATTTTGATTTTCTTGCTAATATAATAGTTTTTTTCCGTTAAAACTGTGTACCTATCATTGATATGGAATTCACTAAATTAGTAAGAAATTAGTCATACTACAGTGTGTGTACCTTAGAAGTAGAACATATAACTAATTAGCCATTGACAATATCTTTGAATATGTGGAAGAAACGGAAGTTTTAAAGTTATCTATTGTAATTTAAGAATCTTCATTGACTATTTAGCAATAAACAATACTTTAGGTAGTTGTTTTTTTTTTAATAACTTCATCATCATTATAAACTCATTGTGTTATCACATGCAAAGTAAAACATATAAACATAAATGAATCAGATATGTTTTTTTTGTGTGTTAAAATAGTGAAGTTTTACATTGCTTACAGCTAAAATATATGCAAAATATGTCATCAGTAAATGTGAACATACTACGCTTTAACCTAATTAGAAAGGTATTTTTTTAAAAGAATTTTTTTCAAATAACAACATTCATTTGAAACATACAATACCAATATTGTGAAAATAAATATATCTTTTTATATATAACTAAAGAACATGAGTATTGGTGGTTATTTCTAAGCATTTTGGTTAAATTATACACTTTCTAAATAAGTTTGTGAATTATTTTGATAAAACAAAAGGTGACAAAATGAACTGACAACAACGCAAATATGCTAAAATGAATAAAAGTTTTGTGCATTCTTTTTTTTCTGTTAAAGGTTTTATTATCTCTAAGATTAAGTGGCTATAACAATACTGATTTTGAAAGGTGTTTATGGTATTTTTCTACAAAGTATATTCACTTAATAATGTTTGGTGAAATCTTTTGAATTTGTGTTTTGATTTTTAATTGTTAAAACGATTAAAAATTCCATTTTTTTCAAATAGATAAATTTATTATTATTATTCAGAGTATTTATACTTATATATATACTTTTCTTATGAAATAGCAAAACACTAGTCAATAGTTTTGAGAATCATTTCTAGTCTATGATGACTATTGAATATTGATTACTGTGACAATCAAATATTTAGTTGAGGATAACGGTCACATAATGTTATTAATTGATTGAAATTAGAGATATGTACAACTGGATCTTTATTCACAAGTCTACAGATAATATAGCAGCTGCAAGGACTAAGAACTCTGTATCCAATCTCTTGATACTCATATGGATGCCCACCATTAGTTAGTTCTGAAATCAAATATAAATATGATAAGTGCTTCTTGATACCTAAAAAATGTCATTTAGTGATGAAAAATAAATTGCCATAGTTACGACACGCATGTTTGGTAACAGTATATATATATATATATATATATATATATATATATATATATATATATATATATATATATTAAACAAAACGTTGATGTTATAAAGCGAACAAATGTAGTTTAATGAGCAGTTTTTTCATAATTTACTGAGTTAATATTTTATAAATGATAAATAAATCCGCCTAGTGCTTGATTTATTGATCATTCCCATATGCGAAATCTATCTTAGGCATAACAGAAATTTATGATTCCCTCCTGTCTAAAAGCAGTTTATGATTTGTTAAAAAACAACATTTAATATTGCTTGTTTGCAAAAGATTCATTCATTTTACACATTGAATAAATTACACATGTTTATGACAGATGCATCTTTCAATCATTACACAAAAGTGTATTGATTTTTTCTTTAGTTTAGAAAAAAAGGGAAATATTACAAATCGAGTAATAATGAAATAAACAAGAAGCATTTGCTTTGAATGACAGGAAATAAATCGTAGTGGAATGAGATTAAGAGTGAAAGAATCTGTGCTGTAATATTCGCGTCTAATGTATTTCATATGAGGTCTCAAGTTTTTTATATTCCTATCATCACCGATCACATTTAGAGCAGTGTACTGTACTGTTACAAATAGGTTCAATGCTTTATGGATAATTGCCATGTCATAGTGTGAGTAGGGATATCATTTAGTTAATTTAGTATTTGTTCAGCTAATTTTCATACATCATGACTTGACATTTTTTTCTTTGGATAAAATGATGAAATCCACGTTGAACATTGGATAATGTGGCTAAGTATTTACATTTTTCTTCAATATTGCCTACTATTTGAAGCAAACGCAAGGCGATAACAACACTAGCTATTGAATATTCCGACATATCATTACTCTGGTTAGAAATGAGATTTCCCACCAGTTCCATATCTGATGCAACTTACCAAATGTTAAGTAAACTTTCTGCATGGGTGAAAAAAATTCACTTAACGATCAGCATCGTGGTGCGTTCACAGTTCTCTAATCACCCAAGTATACAACACATTCAAACATTTCCTGCTTTATCCTCAAGCAGAATATGAATATAAATTAGTCATAATTTATTATGAAAGATGTTTTGATGTCTGAAAAATACTCGAAATTTTTCTTGTATCATTCAATAGAACTCGTTACGTTTGTATAATGAGTCAAGCAGGCTATTTCTATTACTACATTGATATTCAATATTATTTTATCAGTAATAATATAAAACCAATATAATTTCCTTTACAATATAGGTATGTATATTCCTGGTTTGCAAAAATAATTGTGTGTTTACTGGAAAACTATCTCTTCTCTAGCACGAGACTCTTAACTAATATGCATTCAAGGTAACGCAACAAAGGATCAAACATATGACTTCCTGTCTAATGTTTGAATGTCTAACTTTTAAAACACTGATTCACAAATCTAACTTGAATCAGTTCACAAAAGACTTATTTATTCGAAACTTACTTTTATGTTTTACTTTCTCTGTTCTGATAAGTAATATTAAACATATTTTTTTTCCTGATAATTTTTATTCATAGGTGATTTATTACCCGCTGATGGAGTAATTCTTCAAAGTAATGATTTAAAAGTTGATGAAAGCTCATTAACTGGTGAACCAGATCAAGTGAAGAAAGGTGAAAATGTTGATCCAATGTTGTTATCAGGTCAGTCAACATACTTTTTTTTATAATAGTTATTTTCCAATTACTTATTCATCATTTTTTGTCGAACTAATGAAGTATATATTGATATTTTGGTGGATTTAAAGCAATATGAAGAAAAAATGGTATTATGCTACTTTATTGACATAAAGTAATACATTTGAAAATAAGCTAATAAATTCTAAAGTATAACATTTTTTTTCTAATAAATGATAATATTGTTTTTTATTGGATAAAGATCCTTGAAATATTTACTAAAAATAATAATAATAATAATAATAATAATAATAATAGAATTTTATTTAGATATTTATCAACTTAAGATAAAATCATTGATATAACGGTTAAGAAAAGCTACAAGATTTGTAGAGTAGAAATTTTTTCTAATAATAGAAATGATATTTATTTATAAAATTTTAATGAGTTAACAAAAAAGTGAATTTCTAATTTTGTTGCAAGCTAATTTAAGTTTTACACCTTCAGAGAGTAAACAACTAAAAATAAATTATTACAATTTTAAATAGTGCAAATGAAACAAAGTAGAATATTTTTAGGTACAGTCAATATAGATAATATTATATTATCGCTTTGTCAATCCGTTTCAGGCGATTCTATGTGAAGCTTATTTGTATATATTCTAGTGCGTGTGGAGAATATTTGCATTGGTAAAGAATGAAGCTTTAAATACTTGTATGTTTGTTAGTAGTATTTTAAGTGGGTAGATACCAATGTATGCGTATTCGGATTGATGATCCATATTGGATATCGTTAATTCTATTTTTAACGATTTACCCGATGCTCAGTTAATTTGAAATCATCAAGTCAAACTTTGGTAATGATACTTAAAAAGTCTTTTAAGTGAATTTACGTTGCGATGATATTAATTTTCGTACTGCATACAGAAATGAAACCTTATGTGGATAAGAAAAATAGATTTCAGAGAACTATTTTCATGAATTTTGAGGGTCGAATGTAACAATCGCATATTTATTCATATTATAGTTCTTTTATACGAAATTATGCTCTTGCTTATTTACTTACGCCTGTTACCCCTAATGGAGCATAGGCCGCCGACCAGTATTTTCCAACTTACTCTGTTCTGGGCTTCCCTTTCCAGTTATGTCCAATTTTTGTTCATTCTTCAGACGTTTGTCTCCGTTTCTCGGCATAATGTGTTCCTTGGCCTTCTTAAATTATACTCTACGTGCATATTAAATTTAGTTTGAATAAAATATTTTTTAAACCATGAAAATTTATATAAACAACAAATGAACCCATTCGAACTTCCCTTTTATCTTAAGTACTCTCTGCAATAATGAGTTGGGGAAAAAAGTCGATCAAAAAGTACGATATTGAACAGTTTTGAGGTATACATTTCCCAGCTCAATCAGTCATGTTTGATTATTTCCTTTAGCTGTAACTAAATTTTTTGTGACATTTAAGTAGTTGTAAGCTAATTTCAGTGAATATGTGCTGTTGGGTGGTTTTCATTTAAAACTTCAACAAAATCTAATGAAAATATTGAATATATGTAAGGATTCGTCACTAATACAATGAAAGAAACATAAAAAAACGTGTTAATGCGCCTGACACCAATATACATTCATTCCTTTTATTTCAGTTAGTTTTACTGATCATCAAATCTAGACAATGTGTATATTGGGTAAAGTTGTCACATTTCATTAACATAGTGAGATAGAATTGCAAGGGTCAATCACAGAGTGGTAGCGGTAGTAATAGTACAAGTGGTGACAGAAAAAAATCACACATTCATGAAGGAAAATATTAACTCATGGAATCAAAAAGTTGTTTGTAATGTAGTTTAGAAACGTGGCATCTTAAAGGAGATATATAGATAGAATGTGACTACCATGGCGTAGTATTTTGAGCCAAATCATTCAAAGTCCCCAACCATTGGTAACGTTATTCACGCGTATCCAAGTCAGGTAGTCGGGACCTACATACACTGCTCAGCTCATCAGTTAGTGTCTCTATGGACTAAGGCTATATTTTAATTTTCCCATCCACTATTTATCTCTCAGCCTTGTTTTAAACCGTGCATTATGGCTGGTCGAGGTAGGCTTTGGCTGGAGATATATCATACATGTTCTAATTATCATGGTCGATAAAGAAATATTACTCCATCATTTAACTTATCATTCTTGTCTAGTACCCTGTATCTAGCTTTAGGATTTCTGACACAGTGTCTCAACGTTTAAGAAAATTACTCCATAACCATAACCGAATACAAGCAACTTATCTTCTATTTTTAAAGTCTACCTATCACAGACATCATGTGGAACAAAGTGCATTACGAAATGGTATGCTTGTCCTTTTGTCAGCGAACATCACAAACCAACGTCATACTTACTACATGTAATTTTCGAATATTCTTTCTATTTTCCTTCTAAAATTCAATTACATTTAGTATTTCTTTGATAGAATGTCGTTTAGTAGTAAATTTCAAAACGTGATAAGATTGAAAAAAATTGTGTTCTCTGTAAGAGTCATGTATAGATATTGACCATTTTGTGGAAAACTAAGATTATTGTAAATTTATGGAGTTGGATTGATTGAATGAATATTGCATGAGTCTTTTCTGCTGATCATTTAATTTTATTCATGATTACCAACTAGTTTCATGTTCTCCATGTGCTATAAACGCTTTCGATCATGTAAAGTTTCCAACAGATCAATAACACATCAGTAATATAAGAAAATTGTTTTAAGAGAAGGGACAGTAATGAATCTAAAACACCTAATTAACAAGGTCAATTTCATTTAATCCTTTCAACTTTTACTGACATTGAAGCTTTAGGAAACATTTTCGAAACTTTCAAGAATTTCTATACTAACAAATACACTAACGACAACACTAAGATCAACCACAATCATAGAAATATATCAATCAGTTGAATGAGGCATGCTGACAAGTACAAACAGGCAAATGTATATATATATATATATATATATATATATATATATATACAAGCATTTCAGTCTTGGTGTGACCCATGTCATTCAACATATGCCAACACACATAAATATATTTGATTGTTATCCACGATTTCTTTTTTCTAGAATAGACATTTTCGAGGTTATCATCATCATCAACATCATCATCTAATTCATTCAATGATTGTTGTGTTTTTTTTTCTTCTTTAACTAACTAACTAACGAACTGACTGACTGACTAACTGACTGACTGAATGATCGATTATTACATCCTATCTTTCTGTTTCTGATATATACTTTTCTCTTCTTATACTGTTGTGTTTTTCCCTCCCCAAAAGAGAGATTTTTTTTTATTTTTTACTAGGGAAAAGAAATTCTTATGATTACTTTTCCTCTTTCTTTTTTATGAGAGTATTGAGTGTGTTGCCTACAAATTTTTATTTGGAACAGTTAAATCTTTAGTTTTTTCTTCTTCTTCTTTTCCTCCTCCTTCTTCTTCTTCTTATTCTTCCTCTTCTCTGTAGTGTAACTTTTTTTTTGAATTATGCGTGTACAACTAGCATTATTTCCATTAATATTTTATATCTATCTATACAATATTTTTTTTCTTCAAAAGAACTATTTTTTTATTTATTTATTTACGAAGAAATATACAAAATATATGAACCAGCGAAAGATATATATATATATATATATATATAATATATATTTTAGTTGATCAGAGATATTGAAATTGTCTTCTTTTTTTTTCGAATATTTTTGATAAGTGAATTGAAAACTTTTATTAGTTTATTTTTAATTTCTACTAATTCAAATTCCAATTAAATGTGTTTGAATGAATCTATTGATGATAATGGTGATCGTTTGAAATTTTTATTTATTGACGTTTTTTTTAAAAAGAAATGTTAAAATAACTAGTTAACTATGATAGTCAATGAGTCAATAGATAAATCTGCATGAGACTGTTATCATGAAATAAGATAGGAAAGTAGTAAAGAAAGAAAGTGTAAGTATGAATACACCAGTGCTAGGATGAAATACAATTGAAAACTGTTAGTTCGATAACTTATGAAACGGACTCGGGTCTCTGATATTTATGAGGCTCTAATGAGCGATTACGTAGTAGATCAACATTTTCTTGACTGATAGTTTTTGTTATTTTGTTTTACTTATGAATCAACAAACATTTTCCATCCTAAAAGGTTTGTGATAACCCATGTATGTTAACGGAGCATCACTATGAGATGAATGTTTAAGGTGACCATATGTATTCAACTGATTGTCTACATATATTCAAAAACTCAGCCAAAATGTGTGATACTGTAAATAAAACAATCAAATATACAACTTATCAGGCTGGCTTCTTAAAATTTTCAGTAAAGGTAGTTGCACCAAAACTTAAGTCACCTTAATTCTGCCAATATTAACGTGCGATTCATATCCAATTTGTTCTCAATAATAAAATAAAGCTCATTGATTCTCAATATCTTTATCAGGGTTTGAAAGTTATAAAGAGGATTCTCTGATCATTACTTTATATATCTTCATCAAGTCAGTAATGATGAAGTTATTACACTTAGTTATGAAATATCAACTTTCAGAAATTTTACATTCAACTTCTTGTACTTCTTTGAATAGTCCACTTAATCTGTTAATCACAATATTATTAATTGTAGTGAAAGAGGCGCCCCTATAAAGAGTTTTATAAAGTAAATTGTGGGATTTCAGTTACAGAATTTTCTCAATATTTTGATCAGATGAGTTGGTATCGCCTTGTTATGAAACACGCAACAATTTCATTATGATCCTGATGCAAATGTCACTTTTGACATGTGGTTCCGGCGTTATGAAGATTTATTATAAATTTGATTTTGCCAACCAAGATGATGCTTGGAAGGTTCGGCTGCTACTTCGAAAGTTGGGCGCAAGTGAGCCGGATAAGTACTGCAATTTGATCCTGCCTTTGAACCCACGAGATTGTTCATTTTCTGAGACTGTTCAGACTTTAAGCCAACATTTTGGCGATAACTCGTCACTGTTTAATACTC